AGCGCTGGTAGGTTGTAGGAGATATCATATCTATTAGCCAAACGTGAATAATTTCATAATGCGGCCATTCCTCGAGGATTGTCAAAATCGCCAACTTTTGGTTTTGAAGTTTTTTTTGCGTTAACCCTAGAAAAATCTAACGTTAAATAATGCTGACTCTTAAAATATAGCAGATTCACCTATAAGCACTTAAGATATTAGCCCAAGTTAACTTAAAACCTAAAGCATAGTAAGAATTTTTATTCAGTCACAATCATGGTACCATAATTTTGTCTTTCTCTGTTAATTTATATTTTGGTTTATTATTTTCAATAATAAACCATCGTGATTGACCAAAAAATTTAAAAACTTAACCCTCTCTCAAAATTTGAGGTTTCACGTAGAATTCGAAAAACGAATACAATTTTTTTTTGTCTGTCCGCCGTCCGTGGATTTTTTTCAAATTTGGATATAAAATCAGAGGTCACCCTACGAGGATCCTCCTTCATTGGCATTACTATCCGCCTTTTACTTTCAAAATGGCGGCCGAAAAATTTGCGTTACTATAGACTGTAGCTCATAAACGAATGTACCGATTTCAATGAAACGTCGCTAAAGTCATTTTCTCGACGCTCTTTAAATTTATCTATATAACGTACTTCAACGAAAAGAAGCTGGAAAAAAAGTTACGAGGGATGGTAAAGTTAAATTACGAATAACTCGAGCAGTTTACACTTTTTTGTAGGTATTGTAATGGTTTTTTAAAAGTTTACTAAATTTCCTATAAAATAAAAAAAAATCGTAAAATTGGACAATTAGGAGCAAAGATATGGTATCCAGTTTTTTTTTTATATGTTCTACTCCAAATGTTATATCCTTTATTTGATTTTTAAATTTTGAATGTGTTACTGAAGTAATGCTATTTTTTTTATCATATTACTAATGATTAAAAAAAGGAAGTTTAATCCAATAACTGAAATCAACTTTTATTTATTTTTGTTTGTAACTCGGAAGGTAATATTACTTTAGATGTATAGTTGTTTGGAAATAATAAACCTATAAAGTATAATATAGTATAAAGTAAATAATTAATAACAACGAAAATGTTTAGATGCTAATATCTCCTAAACAAAGTGTTTGCGGACATACCTTCAGAGGAAATTTTTTTCTTGTTTTCAGGTCCTTTGTTCATTTTTGAGGTCCTTGTTCAATTTTGCCACTTAAACCTGAAACACGGACGGATCTACAGGAAAGGGGGGACTGAAGCCCTCCTCCCCCCCAAAAAAATAAAATATAACTTTTCAAGTTAATTTATTATTAGCCATATTTACACCAATTTTTAAAAATAAATTGCAACAACAAAGCATATTTTGGACAGACATCCCAATGGTTTGAAAAAAGGCTTAAACAGCATAAACAAAATTGTAATTCAAAAAATACAAAAATTAAATTAGCTACTGGACTCTCTCAACATAATATGCAAACTAAACATGAATTTGATTTCAAAAACGCCATAATCCTACATAATGAAAGAAATACGAATAAACGTAGAATTAAGGAAGCAATATACATAATTAAAAACTTAAAAAACTCGGTAAATAATCATACAGACATGGGTAATATGAATACGTTTTACGCTAGTTCAATTGAAAAAATCAAAATTTGAAATAAATTAGCTAATATTACTTAAAATAGATCCACATATAATATTAAGAAACAGCATTATATATGTTCATAATATATAGTCTTCCCCTACTCCTATAAAAATAACCAGTCACTGAATAGAAATGAGATGGATGACATGTGGGTGACCCATGAACAAGGTAATTTTAACTTATTTGAATCATTTAATAGTAAAGAATTGAGTAATAATAATGTTGTAAAATAATTAAAGGTGGACATGACAATAATAAGGAATTTTATTATGAGTAGACGCATAAGTGAAAAGGACAGGTACATGATGGGTATTTTAGGTACATAATAAGTATCTTTATAATTTGAAATATGTTAAAGTTAATATATGATTGTAAATGAAAAAATTTTTTTAGACTTGAAAATGTCTCGACGAGCCGAAACGTCGTCATTGTGATGAGAAGTCATTAAGTGACAAAATTTTTTAAAAATTGGTGTAAATATGGCTAATAATAAATTAACTTGAAAATAAATAGTATGCACCGAAGTAGAAGTGAGAAATATTGTAAAATATAACCATGTTTTATGAAAAAATTTTATCTCTTAAAGTATCATTGTTCGTCTAATTACAGTTAATAAGACTTCAAAAATCACTTAAAGACCATTTCATATAGGTAGTAAGTTTCTTTCTTTCTTCCGAAGTCATACAAAAAAAAAATCTTTCGGGCTGAAGTCCATCCCAAAATTAAATCCTGGATCCCTTAGTGCCCTGAAAAACCGTGTATAACGAGGAAAATTATTCATTAGTCTCTTTGTACATATATAACTACAATTATTCAAAGAAATAAAATAAAAATAATTAATTTTGTCTGTTAAAAAGTAATGAAGGAATCTATTAGCGTTACTGTGGCGCGATGCATTAGTAATACTGTTAAATACGTTCAGACACATCATCCCATTCTTCCTAATAAACCTTTCGGCTAATCCTTATCGTTTCGCTGATATGACATCTGTCACGAATGTCCTCAGTTCCCTTTCTAAATAATAGTTTTACTCAAGTTTTTAACAATAGATGTTAATCTTAATTATATTCTGTAACCAACTAAATGTTCCTAATTTCAATAATTGAAGTTTTCATGAAAATAACTGAAGTAATTGAGCAGTAAAGCCAAAAGCGAACAATAAAAGTTTCTATTTTTTTTACGATTAATTTCTTAATGGAATGAGGTCTTAAAATTGATGATTGGGCAGATATTCAATTGTTACGGTTTATTAAAAGTTCTTATTATCATTATCGTGGTTGTTATGATTCTCATTTTCTCATGGCCACCAAAATAATCTAATACGATAATTATAAATTTATTGCAAACAATAATAATAAAAGCTCTCCTCACTAATAAAGGTAGAAGAGATTTGTAGATTAGGATTTCAGACGTCGTAGAGCAAATTTGGTTCTGTCTGTTTGAAACGAGATTCATTCAACGGCCATAACATAAGACCTGTTACACTTGTTCAGGTCTTGAAGAAGTTATTAGCGATGGTCAGCAGATCTAAGGATGGTGGGGGAGGAATAGGGGACTTTCGTGCTGATCCCCTCCCCGACCTCCCAAAAATGGTAAAATATAAAAATGTCTTAAAAAAGAAAAAAAAAAAAAAAAGAAAAACCTTAACCACTACAACCCATAAAGGGTCTTGGGTTCAATACTATTTAGGAAAAGCAATGTTTCTTGGTCTACGGTTTGTGCAAGGAGGTGATTTGATCGAGATCACGCTCAACCGTCAGGTTTCTCACCCCCCCCATAATCAATTATTTTAATTAAGGGTACCTACTATATAGAGGCTGGGTTATGCCCCAGGATGGTCTACCTACCAAGAATCGCCCCACGGCCAATGAAACAGAACATATGATTTTTCTGCCATGAGCCGGGGTTCGAATCTGGGACTTAAAGCATTAGAAGCTCAGTACCCCACTCTCCAAATCATGTCTCATGAAAAATATAATATTATTGTTCGTATGTTAATATCAAGTAAACTACTTAGTTCGTGCCTCTTGTCCCGAAACTTAAAAATTAGAATCTATAAAACAATTATCTTGCCTACAGTTCTTTATGGATGCGAAACTTGGCCGCTTACATTAAGGGATGAGCAGCGTCTTAAGATTTTTTGAAAATAAAGTATTGCGTAGAATATTCGGACTGAAGAAGGATGAGTTAACCGGAGAGTTCAGACGGTACCCTCAACTGTATCCGAGTAATATAATTGAGATAATTTCATCGCGGCGAATCAAATGGGCTTGTAAAGTTGTTGGGCTTAGTAACGAGAGAATTCCTAAAAGGTTAATATTTGCTGTGCCGAATGGTAAGCGTCCGAGGGGTAGACCGAAGCGAAGGTGGGAAGATTGCATTAAAGCCGATCTGAAGGGACTGGGATCGGACGGTGAACGGTGGAGGGAGGTGTGTAATAAGCGATTGGTGGTGTCGGCATCGAACCTTCGGGTTCGCTAAGCCTTTTATTATTATTATTATTATGTTAATATCAAGTATTATTGTTCGTGTAATTAAATTAAATAGGACTTCAAGAATCACTTAAATACTATTTCATAAAAGTAGTTAGTTTCTTTCTTTGTGTTCCAAATTGATTACCGTTACATATATAAAAAAAAATTCTTTTAGGCTGAAGCCCTCTCCCCCCCCCCAAAAAAAAAGTTAAATCCTAGGTTCGCTAGTGGCGATGGATAAATTTGTTTCTAAACGCTCAGTCACTTACTAATTTTAATGAATTTAGTACCTTATTTTCGCTTATTCGTGTACAAAAAAGTATTATTTTTTATAAAGATCTATAATGATTTGGGATTGTTCCTGTTTAAAAACATTTGTTGAACAAATATTTATTTTTGTTCAAATACTTCCCTCAAATAATGGTCATAGAAATTTCAAATCACATTTATAGATAGTCTCAGTGCTGGGTACTGATATTTCTTATTGAAATTTGATGTGTATATTTTTTATTTAAATTTTACTTGCTTGTTGATTGGCTTAAAATTAACCTATGAACCATTACTTCTTTTTTTTATTTATAAAAATGAGTTTTTCTTGAAAATCAGTATCTGAAATTTGTCCATTATTTGAGAATCACCTATTAGTATTTTACTTTTTTAGTTTATAAGAGTTATAATATTAAAATAGTTGATAATTATTATGCTTATTATGTGTAATAGTTATGAAATTTTTTAATAATATGACTTAAATATCTCACTTAAATATGAGACCCATACAAAAAATGTACTTATGGCTACGGAAAAGGGATAAAAATAAGTACCAAAGTATTTTTAATACTTTATTATTATAAAATAATTCTTTATACAATAAAATATTTATATATATATGATGGTTCTATATATATTTACATAAATCAATTCAGCGTTATCAATAATAACATGCATATATTTATTAACTACTTTTAATTTATTTACAATATAAATAATTTCGGACGAAAGGCTTATATGATTACAATAACGTATACATTATACACAATATATATATATATATATATATATATATATATATATATATATATATTTCTACATACTAACCCCAAAGGAACAAGAATAAACTTAAAATGACTCAAATCGTAATATGTGCACTCAAAATTATCTACAATTTTACAAAATGCCCTAATGAAAGAAAAAAAAAATCAAATTATTTAAAAAGCACAATTTATATAATTTTAGTTATATATTAAAATAACACATCTACTTTTTATTAAAACTTTCGAATTTAAACAATTAAATACGTAACAACGTGTGTTGCTGTAAAGATTTGTCAAGCTCATCGAAAAGGCACTACCATTATTTTTTTGCATTATAAAATATAGAATATTGAATTGGTATTATTATTACTCAAGATTATCATCAAAATATTGATATGTCTACGCTATTAAGGCTATTTCAATATAAATATGTATTAACTTACTAATAAATATAAATATTTTCTGTATAATCTTCATTATAATATTATTTATAAGGCAATGGCTTTCTTTTTTGGTACATCCGAAATTAGAAAACATTTTTTGAAATATTACACCTTATACTATAAACATATTATAACATAAATAAATATAAATCGTATTTTTCTTTTGATATAATTATAATTTTCTTATTTTCATATGTTTCAAGTTAAAAAAAAATATTTATCACAATAAAAACATATCTGGCCCACAAATAAGTTAATGCAACAATTTAGTTGCATGATAGATATCTCAAAAATACATATATCACTACTGTTAATGCAAAAGGTCGTATGTAAAAATTGAATTTGTCTTACATAAGTGCCGAAAATAAAAATATTTTTTTATAATTTAGAAATATAATTTTATTTCCCTCTGCTATTTTCCTATTTAGCTGACTACTTATACCAGTAGTGGATAGTGTTGCTCAAAATCGGTCTTGGTCTTGCACTTTACAAGACCAAGACCATGACCAGGGGACTGGTAAAACAAATCTATTTTTTAAATAAAAATTAAGGCAAAATAGTTACTAATAGTCGACAATTTTATTTACTATATGTTAATAATTGGTATAACCAATATACTTTTTCATTTAACTCTTCTAATTTTTCATTCGGGCTTAGTTAGGTTTTTCATATTTAAAAAACTACAGTAATATCTCTATAGTAATAAGCTAATAAGTAACTGCAAGACTGTTGCGAGACTCTAGCGGAAGACCAAGACCATGTCAAGACTGAGTTTGTAAGACCAAGACTCCTCTCGGTCTCGCATTTGGGCAACACTAGTTGTGAAATACAAAATGGCAACTTTCGCGCAAACAGAACAAACATATAAAAGTTTTACATGCGACCTTCTGTACTAATAGTACGAATATTACAAATTTTATTTCGTTTTAACAATGGACAAAGTTGATATATTAACATAAACTTATCACACATGTTGAATATTTATGGTACGTTTATTATTTTGTTTTTCTCATTTTTCTATTTTACTTTAAACCCTTCATAGCAGTTGAGGCAAGTTTCTAAACTCAGCACCAATTCCATAGATGGAATTCATTGATTGATTAATGCTTTTATTTAATAAAAAGTATAAATTAGACCGAATATAATAAATATATAATATAAAAAATTGAGATATAATATTGATGAGGTTATAATAAGGTACATCAAGCGGATCCATCAACCCAAATCTCCGACGGAATTTCTACCGATGTTTTCCATCGATGAATTTAGAAACTTGCGCTTTGTTAGCAGTTTATTCACATTTCTTACTAGTAAGTACTAAATTTACTTACTAAGGCCACAAACTTAATATTATTAATAAGTGACATCAATTGCTGATTTTTTTTATCAGTTTTTAAAATTAGGAAGTTTACCATTTCACCTTAACAATATTTTAAAAAATATTAAATGCTGCTTAAATATAGGCATGTTTACAATTCAATTTCTTTTAAATATAAAAATTTCATTTTTGTGAAATACAATAGTTTTTAAAAAATATTATAAACTTCATTTTACGAAAAATAAGTATATTTAGTTTAATTTATGTATATTTTAAGGCCACATATTATATTTTTAATAATATTTTTTTATAATCTGAAGCTTAAATTTCTGAAAATAGTTATAAATAACCTTAAAATACTCCTATGTTTACAGAGTTTGAATGTGCTCTATGAACACTATTATAAATGTCCTTGATTGTGACAGATTGTAATATTTCTCAATAAATAAGTTCTAAAAAAAAAAAAAAGTTTACAACTTAATGCCTTTTCAATTCAGAAATAAATATGGTATGGCATCTAATACCATTAGTATCTTAGTTAAATATATAGGTTGATCATACAAAAAATATTTCGAAATTTTTTTAGTGTTAAAGTTCATAATTTTATTTAAAAATATTTCTAATATGTTTTCAATTTATAAGGCCACAAATTTTAAAAATCAGGTAGTGTTATTTTCAATTTTTTTTTTGTATATAGGCTGTGTTATTAAATTACTAATTTTACTAAAGAGTGCATTACATTGCACTAAATAATTGCAATTTTTTTTTTTTACATTTTAAAATTAAATAATTAAATAAATATACAATGAAGATAAATATATATATAAAGATGGCGCTGGTTATCAGTGCGCCCTCCCGCACAGACCTGCTTCCACCGCGCCGAGCGTGCCCAGGTAGGGGTATCCGGACTTGGCTTCCGCGGGCGAGTGGCCGGCGCTGGCCGTGGGGTAACCCTGCCCCCCGCTGCACCCGGTGAAGAAGCTGCAACAACATCATCAACATCAACATCAACAACATCATCAACATCAACAACAGTCTCAATCAAAAGATATTAACATGTCAAATAGTTCTTACTAAGTAAACATTTCTTACTTTCACTTACGTATGTATGTAATATATAGTAAGGGTAAGTATTGCGATCGTGAAAATTTTCGAATCTCAGTTTTGAACGGAAATACATGTTTTGAGGTCCCCTGAGGCCAAATAACCAAGTGTCGCAAAATGGTCTGTGTGTGTGTGTTAGCAGTCTAGTTCATAATTAGTACGAAACTGATATTTTTCGTTAAAATCGGCTTACCGGAATGCCACTTCATATAAACTCTGAAACTCATTTTTACAATTTTATTAAAAACGGCTCTAACGATTTTAATTAAAATCGTTCTATCATTGTATAATTAAGTGGTCTTTAATATCATTCAGGTTTTATCCCCGTTGATGTCACTTTACAGGGCTAAAATGCCCAATGTTCATATATGTCTTCTTCTAAAGTACCTTTAATATGGTTTATTTTAAAAAGTTAATTATTTCGCATTATTCAGAGTTATGCAAAAATGCTACATATAACTTTTGAAAGAATTTGATAAGTTAATAAAGGAGAAAAAAAAATAAAAATGCAGAAAAACCTGCGTTGCTGTAGACTGTAGCGCCTGAACAAATGTACCGATTTCAATGAAACTTCTCTAAAGTCATTTTATCGGCACCCTTTAAATTTATCGATATAACATACTTCAACGAAAAGAAGCTGGAAAAAAAGTTATGAGGGTTGGTAAAATTGCTCAAAAATGTTTAAATTGGAGTTTGGAGTGGAAATTATAATGGTCTTAATGACTTGTTCTCTGTAAGCTTAAGCTCCATTTAAAATGCACTTCAACAAATTTTATAATAGCCCAGCATTGCCAGAAAATAATTTCTATTCAAAGTAGAGCGTTAAGTGAAAGTTGTGTAATGCGCGCACCAGATTTTTTTTATTAGAGGTGGGGTGGTGGAATGGGCTAACGCGTGTATACAGCACCGCGAGTTGACTGGGAACCCAGGTGGAAGTTAAATTGATAAAATAATAAGGATTTCGCGTACCGGTGACAAGGGGGCTTTTAACTCTGGCAGAAATCCCTCACTCTCACCTCCTGGTCCTATTCCCAAAGTTTAATATTCGTCACCCTAGATCGTAGAAGAGCTAAAGATTTTAGAAAAATGGATATCTATAAAATACAATGTCATAAAAAGTAATAGAGAGCGACGAAAAATTATTTTAATTTTAGTAAATGATAATGTTTACTTAAGTAAAGGTTATTTATTTAATTTTTGTAAAGGATCCTCAAAAATAAATAAAGCTCTGTGCCCAACCGGTTTAGGTACGCTACTGTATGTGTGTGTGTATATATATATATATATATATATATATATATATATATATATATATATATATATATATTTACAAAATATATATATATATATATATATAGTAAATATATATATATATATATATATATATATATGTATATATGTATATATATATATATTTACAAAATTTCTTCAATCGACCTTTGAGTATTATATTTAAACATAATCATTTAATTGGAACTAAGGTCACTTAATAATTATTCAACAAACTACTAAATGTTCATTGTTCATTGATTATGATAAAAAAAAATATATATATATTTATAAAATTCGACTATATCTTGACAAAAATTATCAAAGAGATGAATTTAAAATTTATGCAAAATATATTCCTTTGTTTCGTAAACAGCTTTTACAAAAACATTCAGCCCTCTCTTATTCGCGTACTCACTAACGACGGTTGCGAAAACAAAACGCAAAAATTAGTCTCCTGAATAAACACTGTTTGTGCCTCTCTAATTATGTCTTATGTAACTGAATTTTCGGTCCGTATCAAAACTATTATTACCGAAGATAATCTTGGAAAAGGAAACATCACATCTTGTCAAGTAATTTAGCTCCATGTTGTTAAAAAATAATATACAATATTTTGAAATGTCTATATCTTCCGTGTCCATTATGTAAAGGTTTTCTAGAAAATATTTGTTTAAAATATAGTTAAAGGCTCCGAGTACGCCAATAAGATTACACTAACATTAATGTACTCACGTGTATAAAGTAAATGAAGTAATTAATTTATAATTATATCTGCAAAGTGGATTATTTATATTAGCAACAAAATACGTTTTTCTCTATGAAAAAACATACTTTAAAATAGATACGCGTAAGCCAAAGTACTTGTTAGAAGTGATGAAATTAATATTGGACTACCTATATATTGATTAGCACAACCTCAAAACAAAACAAAAAAAAAAAATGTATATATATCATTATAGCTATATATATGTATATAGCAACTTCTAGTTGCCTCAGTTTTAAGTAAAACTCCTAGCTGAACACACCTCCCGCCCTGAAGAAGACCTGTGAAGTCGGGTCGAAACGTTGGCTTTTAATAAAATAGTTTTGCCACTATTTAGTATATTTATGACCACCATCTCCTTCCTTAATAATACAATGTCAACCATTAAGTATTCAATACATATATATAATATTACAATGTTTATATAATACGACCTTGATATATATTATAACTTGAATCGAGGGATGACATCACCGTAGAAGATATATTGAAGATGGACAGTGTTGAAAAATTAAATCAAATATATTATTTCATAAAAGGATGTTAAATAAACTGTAAAGTAGCATAATTGATCACTATAGAAAAATGTTTATGCATATTGTTATTTATTTAATACCTCTAAAATATTTATAAAAACATATTACTAATAATATATTTACATATATTATTGCTAATTCGTGAGTCATCTTTATTCGTATCAATTTTGTTAATGTTACGTTTGAACGCAGAAATAGATTGGATGTGGTGAACAATTCATGAAGTTATGGCGTACCGACAAAAAAAAAAAAAAAACACCTTTTAGAAATAATATATAAAGATATAATTAATGAAATTCAAAAATCGTTAGTTATATTATTTTTATAATATATTTTTAATTAATAGCTCTATTTAAGTAATTATATAATTTTAATTGTTTCGGCCAGATATGAATAAGTGTCTCTCAGGAGTTATTATATCTGTAATTATTTTAACCGCGTAATTATTTTCTCATTTCACACATTATATTATATTCGTGTGTATTATTATTTATGTTATTATAATTATATAAGATAGTTATAAATGATGTATGATAATATTTACTGGATACATCGGGCACAGGTGGACGGCAAGAAGCCTTTGTACCTCCTGGAAGGCCGAGCTGACTCGGAGCGATCGGTAACGACTCACTCAGTGTTTAGTAATTATCTTAATGAGGCGCTATTGTTCTCTTAAAGAGCCGTTCGATTTCGAGAAAAACATTCCAACTTAAAGGCTCTTCATAGAGCCAGAGCTATTATCGCTTTTAGCTTTCAACTAAACGATTCAGTAGGAGACAACAAATATATTTTACTTCTTTTTAAGTATTTTGTCCGTTTTAAGGAATCACGAATAGGAAGAAATAATATTTTTAAAAAATACGGCGTGTCCAAGCAAATATGAAGGAGTTGTCGAAAATTGTCATATCATGAATATTCTAACCTGCCTTTAGTGCAATAAGGAAAAAAAAAATGTTTACGTCATCAAAATAAGGAAAACAAACATCCATATTTGGATAACACGTTCCTGATTTTTGTAAGTATCAAAACATTAATATAAATTGTTCTTATAGTAAAACGTTCCCTATAGCGGACATCTCTATAATCCCCATCTGATTTAAATAGTTGTATAGTATAAATTACTTCTGTATATCCCTGCGCTTCATTTTAGTATATTTTACATGATATGGGTGTTTTCTGAACCTACTCCACCCCTTAGTTAAATTTATATCGATATTAATTAAATATTTCTTAACTAAGTATTTACACATATCTTTTAAAACCTCTCTGGACTTACGGACTACAAATATACGGAATTGCAAAACCAACACATAAAAAATATCAAACTTTTCAGTCTAAGATATTACGACTAATCACTCAAGCACCATGGTACGTAAACAATCACACTTTACACACCGACTTACACGTTCCGACAGTCAATGAACACTACTACAACGTACAACGTACAACGTACTACAAACGATTTCATTACATGTTAAACGGGCACTCCAATCAGCTGGTAAAAGAAATGGCCACAACTAGTATGCCCGAGAACTCCATAAGACGACTGAAAAGGGTCTGGATGAGGGATCTGCTTAAATAATGTTTTAATAAAAGCCATGGATTTTTTTTTCTCTCATTACTAAGCCAGCACATCTGCTGATTGTCGATAATTGTAATTGACAGGTGCGGATAAATGACCCAATATTTTTGTAGCCCACTTTTTCCCTCGATTTTGTGATCAAATTATCTTACGATCCAAGTGAAAAACAAATGGTTTCGCATTTTAGTACCTAATTAAATAGACAAAGTTTGTCGATCTCCTGATTGAACACTCCCCAATTCCGAGAATTTTCTTAAATACAATACTTGTAGGTTACGATGAGATGAAGCTATTCAGGAAGTTTCAGTATAATAATAATTTGATAAAAAGTGGTCTACGCCACGGACTAATATTTTTGTTCTACTAATTTGATCACATATTGACCTAAAATATATTGTAATGGGTATAGATATAGTGGATGCAATGATTTTATTCGATTTTGAGGATTATAATCGACATATAATGACTGGTCGATAAGAAATTCTTCGTCCCGAATGATCGATTACCTACTCCCGCTTTGAATCGAACCATAACATCGACCGCTATACAGCACACGATGTGCAAGGAAGAAAGTACATTTTCTCACAGTCCGATTACCCGCTCAGTACGTACACAATAGACTACATCATCATCAACATTACAGCCAAAGAGAGGAGAGAAAGCGTGCTGGCCGAGAGAGCGTTCTATTTGAGGAGGAAAAGGTTAGCGGCGAGCGGACCGAGAT